ACCACAGCCCAGGGGTTGCCACTGCCCACACCACCGCCTGATAAACAGGGGTGAAGTGTGATACCCACACACCAGGCCTGGTGAGAAAGCCCCATCCTGGGCCCTGTTCTCTAGAGGGCAGGGGTGCAGCTTCCGAGACTCCAAGCCCATCAGGCAAACAAGCCCATAAGAACCTGACAGGCTCTTTCCCGGCCACAGTTAGGGAAACAAAGGCTCCCTTTAGGCTGCACCCTTCTCCCAAAGTCCCTGAGGCTGCTCCCTGCTTCTCAGGACGTCCTCAGAAACAACTGGCCCTTGTATTGATGATACAGAAAATCAAGATCAAAGAGACTGATGACTCATTTGAGGTCACTGGAAAAAAGGTGTTGGATCTCTCCTGGGTTTCTGCTCCTCCCAGCCCTACTCCTCTGCTGCTAATTAAGAATCTACCTGGTGAGGCAACTGCATTCACAAAACTCCCTCTGTTTGTAAGGTGCTACTGAAACGTGGTTACAAGGGGAGTTCTCCAGGAGGCCTCCATCCTGGAGGACCTCACAAGCTGAGCCCAGACAAGTGACTGACGTCGTCTGATCAGTCCTGAGTGGTGCTAAGGGCTTGTCCTGAAGCTGGAAGCAGGTAAGGCTGAATGGAAAGGGTGAGTCTGAGTAATATTAAGAGCAGCAATCACCAAACACAGAGAAAGTGGAGGCGTCGTCATTCGGAGCAGCTGCCAAATGAAAGAGGCGGGTCTTGGTGGGTGTGGACCTGCCCACCGGCTGCCTCGCTGGGGTCATCCTCCCCCGCCTTCCCCCATCCTCCACCTCCGGCCCCTCCCAGAAACCAGGACCCCAGCTGGACTTGTTGCTGCTGGAACATGCCGGGCTCTTTCCTGCCTTCCTGACTCTGTACACGGAGCTCCCTTCCCTCGAATGCCCCTTTCCTCTCGTGTCTACAGGAAGAAGAAAAATTGGCTCCATCTCTCCTCTTCAATGAGGCCTTTGCCAGTTTCTGTAGAGAGAGATGGCTGCGCTGCTTCAGGCTCCATTTGAACTGCAGTGACAAGAACAATGTGTCCTTGAGGGCTTAGTGCGCATGCACGTGCGTGTTTGTGTATGTACGTGCGTGTGGTCTATATAGAGGTCAATATATAGCCAGATAAAGTGTTAGTCGCCAATGGTGTCCAGCTCTTTGCCATCCCATGGTCTGTAGCCCGCGAGGCTCCTCTGTCCATGGGGATCTCCAAGCAAGAATACTGGAAAGGCTTGCCATCCCCTTCTCCAGGGAATCTTCCCAACCCAGGGATCGAACCCAGGTCTCCTGCATTGCAAGCGGATTCTTAACTGTCTGAGTGACCTGGGAAGCCACAGACAGATAAAAATCTCAATTCTTAGAGCAACTCTGAGCTATTAGCCCCGTTTTACTGCTGAGCCTCCAGAACAGAGGCCTAGAGACCTTAATTAACTTTCCCGAGATGATTCAGCATCTGAGTTTGGACTGAGGCTCAAACTCTCGCTTCCTCTCTCAGACAGGCTGCTGCTGCTGCTAAGTAGCTTCAGTCGTGTCTGGCTTTGTGCCACCCCATAGACGGCAGCCCACCAGGCTCCGCCGTCCCTGGGATTCTCCAGGCAAGAACACTGGAGTGAAAAAAAAAAAACAAAAAACACTGGAGTGGGTTGCCATTTCCTTCTCCAATGCATGAAAGTGAAAAGTGAAAATGAAGTCGCTCAGTCATGTCCGACTCTTCGAGACCCCATGGACTGCAGCCTACCAGGCTCCTCTGTCCATGGGATTTTCCAGGCAAGAGTATCTCAGACAGGTGGAAGTCCTTTTCTATTCCAAAGACGGTGACATCTGATTCACCTGCTTCATGGCCACCCTGCTATCAGGGCCCAGCTCTGGAGGGGAAAGCCAACGCACATCTGTTGAATAGAATTGATTTGAAGAGAGCTGGCAATTAGAAGGCTTTCGCAGACAGCGGTGGGACGAGGTGCAGCGGCATAAAAGATGAGTGAGGAAAGCAGGAGTCAATTAGCAGAGGATGCTCCAGCCTATGATAAGGAGCTTTAATTTGATGGGAGACAATGGGGAGCCATTCATTGCCGAGCTCGGGGAAAGGCGGTGACAAGCCCCTAACGACACACGAGGGCCTCTGAAACCCTTAATTGCTGCCTGCAATTTTCCTATTTCCTTGCAGAAGTGACGGGCCAGGCCCAGAGGATGAGCTGCTGTTTCCCAGGCTGCCCCACCCACAGCAAGGTCTCCATGAGATCACCACCCCTTCCCCAAGTGCCGAGGGGGGAGGCTGCGAAGGAGCCCAGGTCACTGCCCCTGCCTGTACCTGAAGCCTGATCAAGGTTCTCACAGTCTCTCACACCCCCCAGTCTATGTGGCTCTTGGGATGGAAGGAGTGTGCAGGAACCCTCGGACCCCTCACCCCATCACAACCCTCAGTCACCATCACTGTTGGCCTTTCTGCAACCTTCTGCTCACCTCCACCCTCCCTGTCCCACCTATGAACCCTTCCTGGTCTCTGTCCAAAGAGAGCATCCATAGCTTCCCAGGATGTCAATTGCACCGAAGCAGGAGGCTTCCCCGCCCGCCCCATCATCACTTTAAGAGCCCCCTGCACAGAGAGAGAGGAAGACGATCGTGAAATCCTGCTTGTCCAAAGATGGCGGGCTGCTGGGGATTTCATCATTTATTTTTTCCAAGCTTGGGATCCCTCGCTTCTTCGGTCTGGCACAAAACCACCAGGAGACCAGTGCCTAGGGCTCTGGCCTCCCAAAGCCAGCAATTGGCCAACAGCAGGACGGGTTCCAGGCATACAGGACAATGGGCTCTTCAAGCCGCAGAAAGTCGCTCAGTGCTGTATTGTTTGCGTGTGAGGCAGCTTCTTGAGCACACACAAACACTCCCCCCACTTTTTTTTTTTTTTAACCAGCCCCGCGACAATGGCTTAATTACCGCCAAAGATGCTGAAAAGGATTCAAGCTGCAAACTTCTTTCCCCACCTTCCCCACCAACCCACCACCGCCGCCCGCCTCGCCAAAAGGGAAGGATATAAAACTGAGCTCCACGCATGAGACCAAAAAGCCAGGCACCGGGCAGGAATGTGAACTCGGCAGCGGGCACCAGGTGCATTAATTACACTCGATTGCGTGTGGGTTTACGACTGGGATCACTGGCGTTCGATCACCGGCCCAGCATCTGTGCCCAAGGATATCCTTGTTATTTTGCAAAGCAAGATGAGTATTGGCCAGATGGTGACTTCACAAGAGCATCACTCATGTAGCACTTTCTTGCCCCAACACAGATTTCTGTGAAGGAATCTTGAACACCACGCCGAACAAAACAGAACAAGAAAACCCAGCTCCCCCCAGGAGGCGCAGCCGTAAGCTGAAGATGAATAATTTTGACAGTGACCCCGACAGGAGCCCACATGGCCGGCAGGTCCCAGGCTCCAAGCTGCAGATCCTACCAACCCCGTCACAAAGTGACATCATCCCGGCGTCCTCAATGCCCAAGGGGAGGGGGAGGGGGAGCCCCGAAATGTCACTCTGCAGGAAACCGGCTCCCTTAACTTTTTTTTTAATTAAGTGTGTGTGGTGACAGGTCTCGTCAGCACCTGCTCGCTCAGTAATTTGATTTTGATGGTGACCAAGGGTTTTTGCCTGGAAATCCCCACGGACGGAAGAGCCTGGCGGCTACAGTCCGTGGGGTCGCAAAGAGTCAGACAGGACTGAGTGGCTGAACAACAAAGGGAAGAATGTACTTTTGGCTTCAGCAACCAGGACTAGTTCCTGGGCACTGGAAGGGACACTGAGAGCGAAGCAAATGTCTCTTAAAACAACTCTTAAAGCTCTTGAAGCTCTAAAAACAAACAAAAAAAGCCCTGGGGTTATCAGGCCACTGGCTAGCAAGCAACATAGCCCAGTTCCGAGTTGGTTTGAGAAAGTTCTTGCTCTCTGAGGAATAACGTGCGTCTGACCCACATGGAGTTAAGAGAGTAGGCGTCACGCACCTGCCAGTGGCATTTGAAGTGTGGTCAGCCTGTCTGGAATCCATGCAATTTCTACAACCTACACATTTCAGTCCAAAACCACAAAATAAGGACATGCAGCTGAAGGTCACGCTGCTTCAGAACAAGGTCAGCCCGAGACGGTTCAGAAGCAGATATAACCAGAGTATGCAGCTGGGGTGTGGCCTCTTCACCCCTGGGGGTCTCTGCTCACAGACCCTCCAAGTCATAATGAGGGGGGGCGAGACAGGACAAAAACCAGCCTGGAGAACAACGTCACAGCATCGTTTTTCTGCTGTCGTTCATTGTCTTCAAAGGCATTCTCTGGTTGTGTTAAAAACACCAACCGAGGACACACCCATTTGCACACCCACTGTCTGAGACTCACACGTCCCTGCCCATCATTATAGCCTGCTGCGTGGTGTAATTGTCCAGAGGATGGGCCCCGGCGTTCAGTGCCCTGCTCCCCCCAGCTGACTGCTGTGTGACCTTTATCAAGTGACTTGACCTCTCTGAGAGTCAGTGTCCTCAAGAGGTAAACAGGAACAAGAAAGAGAACCTAGTTCAGAAGCTGGTCGGGACTGACCGAGAAGATGCTTTGAAAGCGCGGTAGGAGCTTGGCACTCGGCAAGCGCTCACGTTGTCGTTCACTCACTAAGTCCTGTCCAAGTGTTTGCGACCCCATGGACTACAGCACACACCAGGCTTCCCTGTTCTTCACTAACTCCCAGGGTTTGCTCAAACTCATGTCCAGGGATGCCAGCCAAACCACCTCATCCTCTGTTGTCTCCTCCTCCTCCTGCCTTCAATATGTTCCAGCATCAGGGTCTTTTCGCTCAGGAAAGTGCTTGTGAAAGGTCAGCAACTATTATTACGCAGCGTGGCAGCTGTGGAAGTGAAACAGGGCCTGCAGACCTCCACCAAGGGCACATCTGTCTTAAGTGGTAAAAATAAGATCAGCGGAACCCAGGCCCTTCTGGGCTGTTGCTTCCTGCTCTGTTAGACGGATGCAAATTCGTGGCACGGAGCCCAGAGACCGCTGGGCCTTCTCCGCTGGCATGATTTGGCAGGCCACCCTGGCAAGCAGCCCACCTTACCCCGTTAAAAAAAAAAAAAAAACCTCTATTGTTTCTGAGGAAGGCTATTTGATCGTCCAAATAAAATGCTATTCGCCGTGCCCCCGGAACAGAAACAGCTCAGGGAGCCAGCCCCTCCTGCTAGGAATCTGCGGGCCCGACACCAGCCAGGAGGGGCCCGAGCTGGGTGACTCAGCAGAAAACGGCCTGCTGCTTGCTTACAGCCCGCCTACCCCGCAGGCCCGGAGAGGAAGGCCTCTGTAAGGCAAACAGAAAAGGACTCTGCTCCCATCCCCGGGCCAAAGCATCCTTTGTCCCCTGGGACTTTAGACAGGAACCGCCCATGTTGACATTTCAGCTGGCAGAACCGGCCAGGCCTGGCTCAGAGAGGCAGGAACCCCCCCTGGGGTGCTAGGAGCCTTCGTCCACACCCTGCGACCTCCTTCCTGAGCCCTTTCTACAGATTCGCTTGTTGAATCTCATGGCTATGAGTTGTCAAACTGTCGTGTTTGTAATCCGCACATTTAGGCACCCGGGTTCTCTCAACCTCTTCCTTTTTTTAAAGTGATTTATTTTAATTGGAGGCTAATTACTTTACAATATTGTGGTGGTTTTTGCCATACATTCACATACATCCGCCGTGGATGTACATGTGTTCCCCATCCTGAACCCCCCGAACCTCTTTCTTTCGCTCGCTCCTCACCACAAACCTGGGAAAGACCCAGAATTCATGTCCCCTGCTGTGCTTACTGTGGAGAAGACTGGGGCTCAGAGAAGTCATCACCTGGCCAGTGTCACAGAGCGAGTAGGTCATGGCTGGGATCAGAAGCCTGACTCCCAGCCAAGGAGTCTTCCTTCTGGCCCAAATTTCCAAAACGCTTGGGGTTTTAATATCTTATGACCTGGGGAGCCAGATTTAAGACAGATTAAGGAAAATTCAGATGTGAAATGTTTTATAAAGAGCCTTAGTAGCCTTTCGTTTCTAAATCACTCCCAAACTGTAACAGTCACTCTCTGTTGTATTTGCTATAATGACTGTCATTTCTTATAGCAAATAGTGACCAATGCCAAAATGGTGAACCCCGTGAGATTAATAACTGACGGGTGATGAGTGGTCCTGAGCGATGATGCTCTTGGGGCCTGAACCAGAGCACAGGTGCTGGTAACTTCAGAACATGTCTGGGAATTCGAGTCTGGAATCTGCCCAGCCCAGGTCTTGACTGGTGATGCCGTTGTTCAATTGCTAAGTCATGTCCAAATCTTTATGACCCATGGACTGCAGCGCTCCAGGTTTCCCTGTCCTTCACTATTATGCCCATTGAGTTGGTGATGTTATCTAACCATCTCATCCTCTGCCGCCTCCTTCTCCTTTTGCCTTCAATCTTTCCCAACCTCAGAGTTTTTTCCAATGAGTCAGCCCTTTACTTATCTTTCATCCTCACTTGCTCAGTCATGTCTGACTCTGGGTGACCCCAAGGACTGTAGCCTGCCAGGCTCCTCTGTCCATGGGAGTTTCCAGGCAAGAACACTAGAGTGGGTTGCCATTTCCTTCTCCATTATTTCTGTTTATTCCTTGTTACATTTGATTGCTCTACATCTTTCTTCCAAGGCAACTCAAGAGCTAGAGCTAAAGCTATAGACAGGGAGACAGACAGCATGCTCCTACCAAGGGCCAGTCTTGTCCTATGCACATTATATCCCTCACATTAGTTCATCCTCACAGCCATCAAGTCAGGTTAACTGGTTGTCCAAGGGGACACCAGTAGGAGTGGTAGAATGGATAGGTCCCTGGCGTTGGCCTCTTAATCACTGCAGTAAATACCTAGAGAGGTCTATCTAACATTCTGCCATCTCCACAAACTCAATCAGCCCAAAACTCACAGGGCCTCCTAAGTGCCTCTCTTTATCTGTTTGCTGTCTAGTTACTAGGGTTTCCCTTGTGGCTCAGCTGGTAAAGAATCTGCCTGCAATGCAGGAGACCAGGGTTTGATCCCTGGATTGGGAAGATCCACTGGAGAAGGGAAAGGCTACCCACTCCAGTATTCTGGCCTGGAGAATCCCATGGACTATAGCCCATGGGGTCGCAAAGAGTCGGACGCGACTGAACGACCTTCACTTCACTTCAGTTGCTAAGTCATGTTCAGCTCTTTGGCTGTTTGAATTTCCATGGACTGTAGCCCGCCAGACTCCTCTGTCCATGGGATTTTTCAGACAAGAATACTGGAGTGGGTTGCCATTTCCTTCTCTGGGGCATCTTCCCAGCCCAGGGGTAGAACCACGTCTGCTGCGTTGGCTGGCATGTTGTTTATTCTGAGCCACCAGGGAAGCCCACCTCTCTTTACAGACTCTCAGGTTCATCCTGCGGGCTGTCCACCCAGCTCACATCTTGCTCATTCTGAGCTCCTCCCTCTCCTCACCCACGGCGCCTGCTGAGTCCCTGAAGGCAGCTGCTTCCTCCTTTCTGTGGTTCTCCACACCCTCCCCTCCCTTTGTGGTCTCACTGGCACCCCCAAGCCCAGTCCTTCATGACATCATCTCTGAACTACTGTAATTGCTCCCCAATTTGTGTTCCTGATACCCCCGTCCATCTGTACTTATGATGATACGATTAATCTTCCCAGAAGGTCATTTCACACACACTGGCTTCTCTATGCTTACACTCTGCAGGGGTCCCTCATTTAATAAAGTCCATGTCCTTCACCCCCTTCCAGCAACTCCAATGTGATCTACCTTCAACTTCTCAAGTAGATTCTTCATTTCCCACCAAGCTGGTTGTTTCTTCAACTTTTTTCAACATATATTGTTGGGTCAAACTGAGGTGATCCGATACTTCAATGAGATTGAAATAACGTTGTATTATGCAATAATTGGAAATTTAAAGACTTGCAAGAACAGTTTGCAGGTTCAACAAGGGTTGCCAGTGTGCTACCCTTGCTTCTCTTCCTGTGGTCATGGACACCTATTAATTTTTTCTGAAAATTGATATCCACATGCAGATAAATGGATGTGCACCCCATCCACAAAAATCAACTCAGAAATGGATCAAACATTTAAATGTAAGACATGAAGCAGTAAGATGCCTAGAAAAGCTCTGGAACATTCATCTTGGCAATGATTTCTTGGATATGACACTGAAATCACAGGCAACAAAGGCAAACATAGACAAGTGGGATTATGTAAAACTAAAAGCCTTCTGCACAGCATGGGAAATGATCAACAAAATGAAAAGGCAACCTACAAACTGGTAGAAAACAATTGCAAACTGTATATCTGGTTAAAAAAAAAAAAAGAAAGAAAGAAAGAAAGAAAAGAAAAAAAAGTTAATACCCAAAATAGCCAAGAAACTTACTCCATGTCATATCTCTAATCTTTAATTTTCTTTAACCTGGATTTCTTCCTTAGCCATTTCTTTATGGATGACTTTTGAAAAGACTACAGAGCAGTTGTTTTAAAAAATGCCTTTCAGTTTCCTGATGTGGTATTTCCCTATGATTAAAGTAATGCTTTCTTTTTGCAAGAAAAAGAAAAAAACATATATATTTTTTTTACCCCATTTCCATAGAGTTTCCTCCTGAGTTAATGGTTTTGATCTGGTGGTTCAGACGGTCAAAAAAGAAAATCCACCTTCAATTCAGGAGGCCTGGGTACGAACCTTGGGTTGAATAGATCTCCTGGAGAAGGGAATGGCTACACACTCCAGTATCCTTGCCTGGAAAATCCCAGGGACAGAGGAGCCTGGCAGGCTACAGTCCACAGGGTTGTAAAGAGTTGGACACGGCTGAGCCACTAACACCAACACACCGCCACTGGCCAGTGCATTGCCTGTCTTCCAGAGCTCCTTCAGGACAGCACCCCCGTGGAGCATTCCCCACGCACCCCGCCTAGCCAGATCCTCATCACTTCTGATTCCTCTAATAGCTTCTGGACCACACATTCGGTTCTCAGCCCAGGATGCCTTAGTCATCTTTTATGATGTTATCTGGTCTCAGCTACTAGTTTACATACTCAGAATAGATCTCGGCTGTAACCAAACATCTCCAATTTTCCAGGACAACAGTGAATCAAAATTTGTGCTTGTTAAAAGATCATAAGCCCTGATTTTACTTCAGAAAGTAGAGTAGATGATCTATATACCCCATTTTTATCTCCAGTGCTTAATGCAAGGGTATACAATAAAAATTGGCCAAGTCCGACTAGGTTTTCTTCAGCCGTATGACCACAGGTATGTCTTTTGTTCTCTTGGCCTGCTATTTTTAAATGGTGCAGTTGGGTTACAAGAGGGGTTGTTGTTGCTGTTGTTCAGTTACTAAGTCATGTCCAACTCTTTGCGAACCCAAGGATTGTAGCAGGCCAGGCTCCTCTGTCCTCCACTATCTCCCAGAGTTTGCTCAAATTCATGTCCATTGAGTCAGTGATGCTATCTAACCATCTCATCCTCTACCACCCTCTTCTCCTTTTGTCTTCTGTCTTTCCAAGCTTCAGGGTCTTTTCCAATGAGTCAGCTCTTCACATCTGTTGGCCAAAGTACTGGAGCTTCAGCTTCAGCTCAGTCCTTCCAATCAATATTCAGGATTGATTTCCTTTAGGATTGACAGATTTGATCTCCTTGCAGTCCAAGGGACTCTCGAGAGTCTTCTCCAGCACCACAGTTCAAAAGCATCAACACTTCAGCACTCAGCCTTCCTTACAGTCCAACTCTCACATCCGTACATGACTACTGGAAAAACTATAGCTTCGATTATAAGGACCTTTGTCAGCAAAGTGATGTTTCTATTTTTTAATATGCCTCCTAGGTTTGTCATAGCTTTCCTTCTAAGAAACAAGTGTCTTTTAATTTCATGGCTTCTGTCATCATCTGCAGTGATTTTGGAGCCCAGGATAATAAAATCTGTCACTACTTCCACTTTTTCCCTTCTATTTGTCATGAAGTCATGGGACCAGATGCCATGATCTTTGTTTTTTGAATGTTGAGTTTCAAGCCAGCTTTTTCACTCTCCTCTTTCACCCTCATCAAGAGATTCTTTAGTTCCTCCTCACTTTCTGTGTACATATCTGAGATTGGCGCTACTTCTCCTGGCAGTCTAAATTCCAGCTTGTGATTCACCCAGCCCAGCATTTCACGTGATGTACTCTGCATATAAGTTAAATAAGCAGGGTGACAATGAACAGCTTTGTTGTACTCCTCTGCCAATTTTGAACCAGTCAGTTGTTCCATGTCCAGAGGGGCTGTGAGAGTATAAACTTTGGAATTCTTAAAGTTCTAG